GTATATTTCAGTATTTTGGTGGAGATTCTGTCTGCACCAACAGACTTGTTGGTTTTCAGCTGTTGAATAGCCTTTTCAATTTCTGGGGTTGTGCTGAGGTAACGATGGGTAGCATGCTGTGAAGTGAAGTTGAGGTCACTCATGTTGAGGACTCAGTCTTGGTTGAAGATAGTCTTAAAGTGCTTCTTCCATAGAGCATTCAATGCTTCTCTGTCCTTGATGAGTACCATTCCATTCTTAGCTCTATTTTCTTGCTTTCTGCTTCCCTCCTTGAACAAAAGTGCGACATTTACAGTTTTCCATTCTGCTGGAACCTTTCCAGATCTAGGGAATTTTGGTAGACTGCAACTAATGTGTCTCAATCACTATCTCTGCAGCTTGTAGATTGGGGAAAGGTATTAGAGAGTCAGGAGGTAAGTCATTCATGACAGAATAACCAATCTCTAGCCTCCGCTGTAGTCACAGTATTTATGTGGCTGACTTGGTTAAACTTTTGGTCAATACTGACAACCAGGTTGCTGATAGTGAGGCATTCTATGATGGTAATGCCAAAAGGAATTGATTAAACTCTGACTTTTGGAAACAGCCACTGCTTGACACTTATGTGGCTGAAATGTTATCAGCCAATATCTGGGCATTGTCTGGGTTTTGATGCTTGTGGGCATGGACGACTTCGTTGGCTTAGCATTTTCTAATTTGACGAAGTTTAATCTCTGATTCTCTGCAAAATTGTATTTTTCTGTATACTTGGAGTTTCGGTGTGTGTTTGTGCAGGTTACTAAGACATAAGAATAGTGCTTTTAATATTTTCTATATGGATTTTAACATAATAGAACTGATTTTTATCACGTTAACTGAAAAATACTTGTTTGGCTTAATTCCAAATTGCACAAAGCTAAGTATATGCTGAATTACAAAGACAGCATCCTAATTAGAAATGTTAAAAAAACTGTTGCTGTCAAACAAGGAGGAAAGAGAAAATAAGTTACTTCTGTTCATTAGGTCTAACAACAACAATATTCACTCGTCCTTCGCCTTTTAAATGCTTATTAATGAAACAGTTAATTTCATTTGCTGCATTATACATGATCTGCAGCAGTCTCGCCCAATTATTTTCCTGGTCCATCTTCTTTTGCATACTCCTTGGGATGAAATTTCCTCGATAATGAGGAGACGGCTTTGAAGGTGGGGATGCGGGCGGGTGCAAGGAAACTTAAGAATCGGTACAATCCATCTTCTGCACGACATGTTCCCAACTCCCTGTGCACTGGGATGCCAATCTGCTTGGCAGTGACAGGGAAGCCAAGCAAAGGTGGTAACAAGCTACTCTCATTCCACTCCGCAGCTAATAATCTTTATTTTCTCTTCCCTCACCCCGGATGTATGTAAATGTAGTCTTGTAGGCGAAAGAAATGCCTTTGGTTTTTAGGAATGGAATCAAACTCCAATGTTTGTTTGTATCCTTAGTATGCCACTGTACGGAACTGAACTGCGGTTGTGACTATGTGTGAATACAAAGATTTGTTTTAAATTGAAGAAAGTATGTATCTGAAATCAGAAAAAGAAAAAAGATCAACCCAATGTGGCTGCAGTGTGAGCAAACTGATGAGAGGCAGATTGGCTGCAGGAGGTTCAGGCTGCAACTCATCCTGACTGTGATGCATTGGTAATGTCCCTACCTCCGAGTCAGGAGGTGATAAATCACTTGGAGATAGCAAGAAGTGCCGATGCTGGAGTCAGAGACAACACAGTGTGGAGCTGCAGGAACACAGCAGGCCAGGCAGCATCAGAGGAGCAAGGAAAGTTGACGTTTCGGGTCGGGACCCTTCTTCAGAAAATGGGCTTTTGTTTGCTCTCCCAGTCAGGAGGCCCGGGTTCAAGTCCCAACTGTTCCCTAGGTGTGGCAGTAATATCTCTGAACAGGTTGATTGGTGAGATTCTAGCCGAAAGTGACCAAAAACGTGAGCCATCTCCTGGTTGCCAAGGCGACACTGAAACGAGCTGCGCATAGCACGCATGCGCCTTCAGGCTCTCTCCGTCAGCGCTGAAGCTGCGCATGTGCCTTCAGGCTCACTCCCCCCACAAAAGACACCAGGCCGCGCTGAAGCTGCGCATGCGCCTTCAGGCTCACTCCACACAGCTCCCCGTCAGCGCTGAAGCTGCGCATGCGCCCTCAGGCTTCCCGTGGAGCCCCCGTCAGCCCTGA